TAGATACTATGAGGTTCATGACTTAGTATATGTTCACTTAATGGAAGGGAAATCAGTTGGTAGATTGTTAAGCAGATTTCAACTGCTGACTCAAACCTGCAGGTGGAATATATTGCAGCCTTAAAGGCGGCAAATGAAGCCTATTGGTTTGATCTCACTGATTTGGAGGTTGTGGAGTATACTAGCCTACCTATTGAGCTATGTTGTGACAATAGTGCAAAAGTAGTCCAAACCAATGACCAAAGGTTCTATAGAGGAACAAGATACACTGAGAGGAAGTATCATGTTCTACATGATATTGTCCGGTAAGAAAATGTACTTGTAGCTAGAACATTGCATTGGAACACAACTTTGTTGATCCATTATCAAAGGTGTCATTGATCAATAATTTTGATCATCATCTGGATAACATTGGAGTTAGGTGCAATTTGAATTGGCTATGAGGGCAAGTGGGAGCTGTTGGGATTTATATGCCCTGGCATAGCAAATTCCTGTTTGGATTAAAGTGACATATGTTCCTGACGTTTCTGAAATATTTATGTTTTATACAATTGGTGAATTCAATGTATTATATTTCGATTCATTATAGAATTGATAGTATCCATTTGATTACAAGAGATATTTATATATATGTATGTAATGGCAATAAATGCATGATATATAAATAGTAATCATAAATGGTTCATAGTCGGTAATTATGGATGGACTCATAATTAATTAAAATTTGAACTGGAACCGCATTAGGTTGAGATATATTGCGAGAGCCGTCGTATGCAATTGCTCCCTATCACCGTCATGGCATTTGACTCTTAAGTATGATAAAATTATAGACTCTTTTATTAATTAATAATTACTTTGATTTGTTCGGCGGATTCTTCGGGATCCTTAGACCGACACTTTGGGTAGTTATGTAATTAATAATTAGAGGGTTATATTTTCAATATTTGCATCATTGCTACTTGTATTTATTTTGTATTGATTATGGTTGATCACAAAGTAAATTCGAAGGCCTTCGTGTGTTTTTAGACAAAATGATTTATTATATATTTATTTATTTAAATTATTATTTTTGTCAAACAAATGTTTTATTGTGATCGAGCCAGAAATAATCAAAGATATCAAAATAAATATATTAATTAAGTAGTCGGATTGATGACTTTATTTATCCGATAACTAATTATGCATAGGGGGTCAAAGTGTTATATTGACTTAGAGGTTATTTATTATTTAATTGGAATTCAATTAATTTCTTTTAGTGGAGTAGAAATTAATTTATAAATTAATTGAATTGGGTCCGTGGACCGGGCCAATTATTAATTCATTGTAGCCAATAAAATAATAGGCCCAATGGATTCTCACTCATAGCCCAACTTGATATTGGAATCATATTAGATTTGAGACATGTAAATTAGAGATTGAGAAGGATTCGTTGTTTCCTTTTCTTTACCTTTATGTTGCCTATAAATATACATGGTTTATGTATATTTGATGAGTGATTTTTAGAAGAAGGAAAAAGGAATTTATTTTCTCTCTCTAGAAAATTAGGGTTTATGTTCTCATCTAATGGAGGCTCCCACAAGCCTAATTTTCCAAGGTCATTCATGGAGGCTTATGAGTGATTGCTAAAGGCAAAACAATTACTAAGAAGATGGAGATTCAAGGAGAAGGTATCTTACTAAGAGATTTACAATAAGTGAGAACACTCACTTTAGAGGAAAGATTTAAAGGTTTACTCATACCTTTGATGTAAGTATTCAATCCATTAATTGAATGATACATCATATTTTTATTTTTGCATAAAACTTGTCTCTATGTGATGAATCAAGATCTATGAATCAAAATCCCTCAAAAAGTTTTTAAACTTGCACGTTTCCCAACAGTTCGTCCTCGTGTTTTCTTTGCATTAGGAATAACCACAATTTTTCACATTAATGGAGTATTTGGAATCATAAAAAGGGGACTAAAATTGTAACATAGATAGTCGTTAACAGGCGGTCAAATCTTCAATTGTAGACTACAAACTTAGAACTCGTGACCTCTTAATAATTTCCTAATTAAACCACCCAACTTCATGCATGCATCGGCCATAAGCTTGCACCAAAAAGAGCAACATGTTATACGGCTATAAATGCGCATGCATTGATTATTAATAATTTGAGATTCAACCTAAACAATTAATCCTAAATATTCAACATTATCTTTAAAGAGAAATAATGAGGAGGCGATGGAATGGAGAGTGAAAGCTCCCCATCCACACATTACTTGGCGTGAGATCCATTTTTGGGACCCACACACACAAGTGTGCGGATGGGGAGTCTTCTTGCTCTCCATTCAGCTCGCCTTTTCGGCCAGCCTATCTGTAAGCTTATTTTAGAATTGTACAGAGATGAAAGTTTGAGTCTAAATTTTATATTAAATTGAATAAGAGTATAAGTGAATCATTAAGTGACTTAGAATTGAAATGAAAATTTTAAAATTAGGAGTTTAGTGTTAAAAGAAAATTATAAAGCCTATTTATATTTGTAAAAATTATATTTTAGTTGACTATGTATTGATATGGAAGAGTAATTTTTGTTATAACTTGCCCAATTAAACAAGAAAAAACTTCAATAATTGGCAAGTTTGAAATTATATCACTAGGTTGTTGAGAAATTATAATGGTTAGATGATGTAGTACGTAATATATTAGTAGCTAGTGAATTAAAGATCATGCATTGCAAGCTAGCCTAGAAAACAAAAGCATGTTGTCCTACCTGTCTCTGCCTTGTTAAACATGTATTTGTTCCTCATGGACTGTGACTGTTGTTTGACTGTAACAGCTTTGTTGTAGTCTTTGATATTGCTCCCTTATCTGTTGGAACCTGTTTGTACATCTTTCTTATATATATAATGTTGAGGGAGAGAGTAATATTGGTTTATTAAGATCAACAGAAATGATAAATATTACTTTTTTTTTTTTCGTGATATTTATTTGGAATGAAAGAGTAACTAAGATGAATCCATCTCTATGGTGACAGTGGAAAACTAACCCCAAAATTAACTACAGTTTATATATATATATATATATATATATATATATATATATATTCATTATACAACTTCCATTTTTTTTTTTTTTTTTCTCAGATCACAAAATTAGTCCCGCCTAAATTAATAATTCTGGGTCGGCACCTGGTGCGTATATATAATTTTATGTATGGCCAAAACAGGTAAACATTATAGTTCGGAAATTGTCAACCGAGTCTGTTTACAGCTGTAGGATGTATTGACACTTGACCCAAATTCGACCACAGAAATGTATATGAGGATATATGTCAACATAATCGGCTTGTCCAATCACTTTAAGAATCATTTCTCCAAAACAATGTTACGAAGCACATGCATGCAATCTCATACTAAGAGATGCCATCTAAGACTCTTCATATTCTTTCTCAAAGCACGTACGTCAAACATATATGCATATATATATATATACATATATATATATGCCACACTAGTTATTTTGAAATTGGCAATCTGAATATAATAAAATACAAGTGCTTATTCTTGAAATTACCCTTTGAAAGTAATTTGAGCATTCTGTGTTTTTATAAGACTAATCCGAACTCGATATATATGTTAGGTGACCAACAATGTTGGCTCAGATTCATTGATGGCATGAATCTGGACTTGGAACAATATTGATTTCTTCTCTCCAACATCGAACATAACATTCGAATTTAAAGTTCATATATTGCGTAGAAAACAAAAGCATGAGGGAGTATTTTCTTTAATGGGATGGTGATGACACGATCACAAGTGTCACTGGTCTAAGATGTATTAGAAATCTGTCAGAGCAACATTACATCAAACACATGCAATCGGAATTAAAAGATGCCATCCGAGAATCGTATTTCAATTTCATAGTCAAACATATATATATATATATATAAAAACCAGCAATTGTGAACATAATAAAATACAACTACTTATTCTTGAAATTACCCTTTTTTAAAGTTAAAACAAATTAATTTGTGATTTATGTGTTTGTATAAAAGACTACACTTTACTTGACATGTATTGGTTATTTCATAACGGTAATCCACAATATCTTGTTCGGAACTTCCGATAAGCAGTGGATAATATTAAATTAAAACATTTAGTTTTTTTATATAAATAAGTCATCCTTGCCTTACATATATACTATTTATTTCCGACATGAATTTTCTATCTCCATTAAGTTTAACTTTTTAAAGTAATTTTTAATAATTTCATCACACGTTATCTTTGGTTTCTCTTCCCGTCTCTTACATTCTACTCAAATTAAACTTTATAACCTTACCTTTACATCTATAGGTCTCTGATGTATGTGTCCAAACCATTCCATTCCATTTTACTTTTTCTTGTTTTCTAGTTGATGAGTGCCTTTCAATCTTACTAGGTATATCACTTCATCCTTTTGTATTATTAATTTTAAATAACAAAAGTGGTTATTTTGAATAATCCACCTTCAGGTGTAATCATTATATTATCAATACTCTAATTTTTATTAAATTTACATTTTGTATATTCTGTTTTAATAAAAAAATAATTATTAATGTTAATTTTTTTTTTAAAAAGATGATATTAGTTGACCAAAAAATTATCTTAGATTTAATGATGAGCATGAGCACTTGAAACAATATTTATTTCTTCTCTCCAACATACATTATATATATATATATATATATATATATATATATATATATATATAATAATAATAATAATAATAAAATAATTATTAATGTTAATTTTTTTTTTAAAAAGATGATATTAGTTGACCAAAAAATTATCTTAGATTTAATGATGAGCATGAGCACTTGAAACAATATTTATTTCTTCTCTCCAACATACATATATATATATATATATATCTAAGATAATTTTTTGGTCAACTAATATCATCTTTTTTAAAAAAAAAATTAACATTAATAATTATATATATATATATATATATTTATTGGGAAAGTTATTTTCTTCTCTCCAATATTGAAACATAACACATAAATGAAAATGAAAACATCTATCAACTCCACGACTAGCTTTAGAAAACGACAGTAACCAAGCTATCTTACACCTCTTAATTTGTTCACCCAAATATTAAATTTAGTTCCCACTACCATTACCATATATACACCAAATTATTCATTAAAAAAATAAAAAAATAAAAATAAATAAAAACTTTCTTTCATCAAATATATATTCTCCAATTTCGCCTGCCCAATATTATCGCCATTAGGAGATTTGAATAGAAAATTTCCCGCCTAGGACACAGAGCCATATATATGATCGATATATAACATAGAAGATAATATAATTTGATCGATGATGGATGATCATGTCCAATATTGAGGCCGCCCCAAAAATGAGCTAGCCTTGATTGTTATAGTAGTTGGGATTACTTTGGAAACTCTGTGGAGTAGTAGTAGTACATGATATGAAATTTTGTTGTGATGATTGTTGTGTCATTTCCGAGCAAATCAGTCCGGCGTCGAGGTTTGGTTGCTCGCATTGCATGTGCATTGTGACGATCTCGGATTGTGCCATAGCTAATTGTGCTTGGAGCTCAATGACTTGCTTCTGAAGTTGACAAATCAATCCGGTACATCCATAAACAGGATCTCTCACCCTCGCATTCGCCTCGTACACCATGCTACTCACCGCGTCTGCCCTCTCGTACTCCGGAAGTTCCTGAGAATTAATACAAACTAATTCCGGTGCTAATAATTTTAACTACTATATATATTTTTTTGGTAATTAAGTAAAATTTTAAATAATAATTGAACTGTCAAGAAAAATTAATTATATTGCTAACTAATAGTATTAAATTCTATTTACGAAAAAAAAAAAAAAATAGTATTAATTCTATACAATTAAACCTATACCTATTATTATCAACAACTACATATATATTCCTGAACTGATCATATATATTAAAGTAAATTTAGCTATTATCTTAAGATTAACTTCTGCATCAATCTACTACATATATATAGTATATAATTAAACCAAGTATACCTACTATATATATGGACATATCCTAGGCTTACTGTGAATGTATACATATAAAGTAGGTACCTGTAAGACCTTGATGACGTTGCTGGCGCCGAAAATGCGATGAGCAGTGGTGAACTTGAGTGGGTCAGTGGGAGGAAAGTATGGTGCCAACAAGCATTTGTCTGCACATTTACGCCTTAGGGTTTTACATGCAGCACAAGGGCTCATTACAACATGAGATGATGGAGTACTTACATTAGTAGCAGGAGAAGATATTGATGAAGAAGATATAAGAAAGCCAGAAGGAGATGTTGTGTTCATGGTAATTCTTGCACTTTTGCCACTACTCTTCTCCATCTTACAGACTATGAAAGATATATATATATATATATATGAGTTTACTGGTAGGTAATGTAGATGGCATTATAGATACTTCATTCATTTTTTGGGGGCAAATTAGAGCAGTGACACTCGCTCTCGCTCAATTAGACCATTGAATAATGCCTTACTAAACCTTACATAACTCTCACCAAATGTCAACACTTCAAGCCCACCAATCACAAAAAATGTGCTACTTAAATTTTATTTAGGTGAAGATGAATCATATGGAATATTTAAAAAATATGTATATATTTTATCCTCCAAAAACTCATACAGCGATTTATTTTTATTAAAAATTGAACCTTAATCTCTCATTTGAGGAGCGTAAGAAAAAGGTTTTTAAGCCTAAATGTCACAAACGCAACTTATACTTAGGTCTTCACTAGTGAGATCTACAACATATTTATTGTGTCAATTTATTATTAGTCCATATTAACAGTGAATATGTTGTAAATCCTCACTAATAAAGACCTAAGTATTATCTGACATTTTATGTGCAGTCCAAATTCATCTCAAACTGGGCCAAATTTTGGAGTCGGGCAATATACTGAACTAATCAGAAATATTGACCAAAATCTTCAACTCTCTTCATTGCTAACTCTTAAAGGGAGTGAATAAGAAAAGCTACCAACAAAAGCCCACTACCGATTTGCAATTCAAAGCCTACAATTGCACGGGCCAAGGTCTCAAGAGTCCAATTAAAAGTTAAAACCCCTTTTGGAGCATGGAAGATTGTGATAACATAATAAGATGCAGAAATCAACTTTATATAGACTCAAAAACTATTATTCTTTTATTTGAAAGAGTCCAAAACATTGCACCAAGTTGAGGAATCGAAGTTTCTTCTCCATTAGATACATTAAAGTGGGGTTCAATATATTTTTAAATTAAAAACTATTTATTCTTTTTTTGAAGTCTTTCTGAAGGAGTTTATAACTTAATAGAAAATGAATTTACTCAATTTCGTGTCTAAGGGAATTTGATTTTTAACTTTCTTATCACCTAACAACCTATGGATTGTAGTAATTTAAAATAAAATAGGCAAATGGTAGTTTCTGTTTAATTGCCTAAAGTCTAGGTGTTACAAATCCTACATCGGATTCGGATAAAAAAAAAATGAGTATAAATGAATTGAGTATTAACTAATAACTTAATTTTTTAAATTATATTACAAAACACCCGATTCGCTATAGTTGATATCAAAATCAAACTCAAGAAGTCTTAATCTAATATTACACCAAATATCGGCCCGATAATTGCCCGAGTCTCCGTGAGTATCAGGGTGCCGATCTCAACTAGGAAAAGTCAAAAGGAAGTCAAAACAATAGCTGTAAACGTCCCATATGTAATTTGCTCAATATATCCTTATGCATGCATGCATGTGACAACTGTCAATGTATCATTAGTTTCTGAAGATATCTAGATAAGATGATCCCCTTGACTCAGTCAAACGTTCTTGGAGTATTGCTGAATTTTGGTTAAAAATTTGACAAATTACCCCTGGTTTTAGTCGCGGGATGTTACACATTTTCAACGTTTTTTTTTTTTTTTTTTTTTCCCTTGCATTTATCCAAAACTCAACTTGTCATTTGTCAATGCAAAACAGATCCTTTTAACTATCTGTTTTTTGGGCAGGTGTCCTCTAAGTTTAATAGCTTCATTGGACTGTCTAATTCTGCCGAATTCTTTCTGAAAATCTTCAACCGATTTTTTTTTCCCTGACTAGATAATTCATTAACCAAACAGAAGAAAAAATAATAAATAAATGGAAAACGAAATTATTTGGAAAATGTATTTCATCGCAGTAGATTATTTACAACCAAAACTCTCGTGAAAGGAACCTAAGCATAGCTGTGATTTTAGCTATAAGAAGTTACGTATATATTTTTAATTTTATTTTCTTTTTTTTCGGATTAATCCAACTCACACTCAACTTGTCAATGCAAACATGTCCTATAAGTTCCTTTTTTTGGGTAGGTGTCCTCTAAGTGTAATAGATTCATTGGTTTGTCTAACTCTGCCTAACTCTTTCTGAAAATTTTTAGTTTTTTTTATGTTTATTTTTAAAACCAGATAATTCATAATAAAAAATAAAAAAAATAAAAAAAAGTCATTTGGATAATGAATTTATTTGTGAGAAAGAATATCATACACATTTTCAATTTTTCTTTTTCTTCGGACCAATCCAACTCACACTCAACTTGTCAATGCAAACATGCCCTATAAGATAGTTTCATTTTTTAGGCAGGTGTCCTCTAAGTTTAACAGTTTCATTGGTTTGTCTAACTCTACCCAACTCTTTTTGAAAATTTTCGACTTCTTCTTTTTTTTTTTTTCTTTTTTTTTTCCTACTAGATATTTCATAAAAAAGCCATTGGGAAAAAACATTATTTGTGAGAAAATATGTCGGTAGATTATTAATTTAGTGAAAGGAAGTCAATGACTCAATGGTCGGTAATAGAAATATATATGTACTTTTTATGACAAAATTGGTCTCTAATTAACACCTTTATTGTAGTGTTTAATCAAAAGTAGTATCTAATTAACAATTGAATTAATGAATAGATTGAAAATGAGACACAGGGAGTGAAAATTCTATCTTCCTTTGATTGTAGAACATAGTGAATCAACATTGGCTTATTTTTCTATAATTCACAAAATATTGTACACTTACTCTGACAGATCTCGATCACTTTCGTTATGGTATGATAATTTTGAGTACTGTAGACTTACTCGGACTTGACACAATCTCCTATCTATCGTTATAGCTATATTATACCATCATGCATGTGAAAATATTAAGGGAATTAAAGCCATGTAATGACTTATCAACAGAAAAATAGTGAGTATCAAGACTTAACCATCATATGATGATGAGATTGGACATCGTATATAATGGGTCCCGATGATGTAATTAAGCATCATATGAGGAAGAGATTGAATGTATGGGTCTCATCATCATATTTTGTTCTAATAATACCTTGGTCGTTAGAGAGTGGGGGAGTGATAGAAAATTAGCTATTTATATATTAAATTCATACCATTTCGTACCAAAAATAGTTGTCACCCTCGTGTTTTCTTTGGCACTATTAATAACCATGATTTTCACATTAATGGAGTATTTGGAATCATAAAAAGGGGACTAAAATTGTAACATATATATAGTCGTCAACCAAATCTTCACTTGTTAAGCGTACGGAGGTGCACAACATCGAGATATATATATATATATATATATATATATATATATATATATATAGTACAAACTTAGAACTCTTGACCTCTTAATAATTTTCTAATTAAACTACCCAACTGCATGCATGCATCGGCCATAAGCTTGCACCCAAAAAAATGCAACATGTTATACGGCTATAAATGCGCACGCATTGATTATTAATAATTTGAGATTCAATTTAAAGAGTTAATCCTAGCCACCTTCTCAGACCTAGATATTCAACATTATCTTTAAAGAAAAATAATGAGAAGATGGACTAAGAAGGAGTCGAAAGCTACCCATTCACACATTTCTACGTGTGAGGTCCATTTTTTGAATCCACACACAAGTGTCTGTATGGAGAGCCTTCTGGCTCTCCATTCAACTCGCCTTCTCGACAGTCTATCTGTATTATTATTTTAGAATTGTATCGAAATGAAAGTTTGAGCCTAAATTTTATATTAAATTGAATAAGAGTATAAATGAATGATTATGTGACTTAGAATTGAAATGAAAGAGTACTTTTAGTTATAACTTGCCCAATTAAAAAAGAAAAAACTTCAATAATTGGCAAGTTTGAAATTATATCACTAGGTTGTTGAGAAATTATAATGATTAGATGATGTAGTACGTAATATATTTGTAGCGAATTAAAGATCATGTATTGCAAGCTAGCCTAGAAAACAAAAGCATGTTGTCCTACCTGTCTCTGCTTTGTTAAACATGTATTTGTTCCTCATGGATAATGTGGATTGTGACTAGCTGTTGTTTGACTGTAACAGCTTTGTTGTAGTCTTTGATGCTCCCTTATCTGTTGGAACCTGTTTGTACTATATATATATATATATATATATATATAATGTTGAGGGAGAGAGCAAAAGAAAATGATAAATATCACAATTTTTTTTCAGTGATAATTATTTGGAATGAAAAAGTAACTAAGATGAATCCATCTCTAAGGCGACGGTGGAAAACTAACCCCAAAATTAACTACGCACAGTTTTTATATTTTGTTTTATATATTTATTTTTCATTATACAACTTCGAAATTTATTATTTTTTATTTTTTTTAATTTTTTTTTCACATTACTAAATCAGTCCCGCCTTAATTAATATTTCTGGGTCGGCACCTGGTGCATGCATATGATTTTATGTGTGGCCAAAACACGTAAACATTGAACATTCTCATTATAGTTCGAAAAGTGTCAACCGAGTCTGTTTATTGCTGTAGGATGTATTGACACTTGACCCAAATTCGACCACAGAAATGTATCTGAGGATATATGTCAACATAATCGGCTTGTTATTTCGTTTTGTCTAATCACTTTAAGAATCATTTTCCAAAACAATGTTACGAAGCACATGCATGCAATCTCATACTAGCTAAGAGATGCCATTTAAGAATCTTCATATTCTCTCTCAAAGCACGTACGTCAAACATATATGCACACACACACACATATATATATAATCACGATGTTTCATCATTAATGCTGTTCTTATATATATATATATATATATAGATATTTTGAAATTGGCAATCTGAATATAATAAAATACAAGCGCTTATTCTTGAAATTACCCTATGAAAATAATTTGATCTTTCTGTGTTTTTATAAGACTAATCAGAACTCGATATATATTAGGTGACCAACAAAGTTGGCTTAGATTCAATGATGGCATGAATCTGGACATGGAACAATATTGTTTTCTTCTATCCAACATTGAACATAACATTGCTTTAGAAAACGACATTAACCAAACTTTGCCTTACTTGTTCACACAATATTACATTTAGCTAGTTTCGGTAAATAATATTACATTTAGTTCCTACTAACATACACCAACTTTCTTAATCAAATGTAGATCTTCAAATTCTCCTTCTCATCAATGCCATTAACTCAGGGTTAGGAGATTTGAATAGAGATTTCCCCGCGAAGCCCACAAAGCCATACGTAGAAGACGATATAATTTGTTGATGATCATGTCCAAAGAGGCTCCCACAATGACTCTAGACTGGTGTCATCTTGGAAGTTGAGATTATTTTCGAAACTCTGTGGACTGCTAATTATGTAGTTGTTGAAGGTTTGTTGTTGTGCCATTTCCGAGCAAATCGAGCTGACGAGGTTTGCTTGCTCACATTGCACGGTGACAACCTCTGCTTGTGCCTCAGCTAATTGTGCTTGGAGCTCAGTGACTTGCTTTTGAAGTTGACAAATCACTCCGGTGCATCCATAAACAGGGTCTCTCAGCCTTGCATTCGCCTCGTAGACCATGCTACTCACCGCGTCCGCCCTCTGAAACTCTGGAAGTTCCTGAAAATCAATTCAATGAATTAATTAGATTCTATCCAGTACTAGCTGCATGAATTAATGGATGCTTAACAGTTGACCCCTAGGTCAAGGTTGAGAAAATAAAAAAAAAAAAAATTCTATACAACCTACACCTATTATCAACAATTATATATATATATTCCTGGACTGATCATATCGATCAATGTAAATTTACCTATCATCTTATGCATCAATCTACTACATATATATATATAGACATGCATCCTAGCTAGGCTTACTGATTAGATATACAATTAATTAGAGATCGAATAAATAAAATAGGTAGGTACCTGTAAGAACTTGATGATGTTGCTGGCGCCGAAAACGCGATGAGCAGTGGTGAACTTGAGTGGCTCATTGGGAGGAAAATATGGCGCCAACAAACATGTATCGGCACATTTACGCCTTAGGGATTTACATGCAGCACAAGGGCTTATTACAACATGAGATGGTGGAGGCGGAGATGGAGATGTTGAGTTCAGGGTGGTGGTTGATCTTTTCTCAGCACTCTTCTCCATATTAGAGACAGAAAGATACAAAATTAATATAGAGAGAGAGAATATAGAGAGAAAGTTCTACAGGTAGTAGAATATGATGATGAGCGTTTGTCCATATTAACATATTTATAGGGGGATGGGACTCTTATTATTATGTCATGGCAATTAATTGTGGGCTGCGACAAGTGCCTTTGTTTAGGACCGTTAGGTTGCGAGTCTTTGTGGTCCATTTTGGCATCTTATGATTGTCGGGATTATTTGCCTAAAAGTCAATTATTTAGTTATAAGTTTGACACTTTGTTATTATACATTCATGCATGGCCTTTAATTTCATATGCTTGTATGAACTCTCTCATATTTTTCAAGTTGTATTATAAGTGAGATTGATGATAAAAGATCAACACTTACTTTTATCTATAAGACTGTGTTATACTTGATTTCTATAAAATGGAAGGGTTAATCTTGACTATTAAACTAGTTGAAATGAACAATCATCAAATCATACAAATTAATTGTCATTATTTTGATATTATCATAAACTTTAAAATTAGACACACGACTTGTGAGAGGTTTAGTGGGTTGCAGTCAATTTGTCTTATCAATGTATCTTTGGAAGTTAATGTTGGAGAAGTAAGACTATAAGCATTCAATATGGAATTCTTGGAGAATATCTCATTAATTTATACTGAAATTTGACTTAGGACATTTTAGTAAAATATTTACAAAATTATTTTTATATGACTTACGCATAAAACATATTTACTTTAAATATTATTTTATAAAAAATATTTGATTCAGTTATCATGAGGTTTTAAGTTGGACACCCAAAAAATATATAGTATAAGTAAGAATTAACTGGGAAGATATTTAATTTTTATTGAGCTTTTTAGGAATAATTAATAGCGAAGAGTTTAACAAGACCTTGTTGTAATTTCTAATTTCTAAAGTGCTATTACATGCAACAAAATATTGATAGTTATGTCTTAAATGGAACAATATTTAAATTTTCTCTAACTACTTGTGCAATTATTTAGTTGGACAAGACCTTATGGTAATTTTAAATTTTAGAATTTAATTAAAATAAAATAGCAATATGTATCGTAATAAATTGAATAAAATAGAGTTCCGAGATAAATTAAACACTATTCAATTGGAATTTGGAGTTGAAAATTAATAAATGGGTGGAATTAATCCTTCTCGTGAATCAAACAAAGTGAAATTAGTTTGAATATATGAAATCAAATTTTCTAATGTTGAATCACCACGCCGCAAATATTTTGAATTTTTTTATATAAAAAAATCGCTTTCTTTTTCTTTTAAGTGAAATCAAAGCTTTCCACGTGCCTTTTGTTGAAACATGGTGATGATGATTTGATTTTTTCATTGCGTGTATAAATGATTTTTATGACTTATAATTGTATTATAATATAAAATATTAATTACTCCATAATTATTTTTTTTAGTCATTAATGAGCGAATGGTAGCGACCGCACGATGGCAGCCGCTGGTGCCGCTTGTGACCCGTTTGATATTTTTTCTTCTGTGGTCTCAAATTAAAAGGAATGAGAGGGAGGGACCCACAATACATGTCAGCCGCCATTCTGGAAGCTCTAAGAGGTAATTAATATCTGTTGATTATCTTTAAACACGTTGATGTCTTAATTAGGACATAAATCAAGATTGTTTACTTTCTTCAAATATACACATGCCCTAATCAGGCAAGGAAGAAAGTTGTTGTTTTAGGATTTAAAATAATCACAAAGGATAACATGTCTGCTTAAGGGAAACTTGTAAAATTATATATATATATATATATATATATATATATATGAATCATGATCTCTTGCTCCCTATGGAACAAGAAAATTAATCCATACTTTTTATATAAACCGTTAGATTAAATCTAACGGTCATTTTTCAAACCCACCTTTGGCCTTTCCTTTTAACACAATACAACTCTCACCCTATTTTTAGTTTCTATATTTAATTTTACCATTACCACTTATGTAACAATAAATGGTAATTATCAGCTCTCTATATTTCTTCGTGCGTTGAATTTGAATCCGTGGACAAATCATTACTTTCCATGAATAAGGTTGTGAGAAGAACTTCACCCAATTTTTTTGGGTTACCTTGTTGTTTCTGAGGTGGATTCTGCAGTCCCACCATAGTCAGTACATCATCATCATCCAACAATCAAACTCACAAATTCACAGATTCAATAATGAATTTCACCAAATGCCCAACTTCAAATTGAAATAGAAAGAATTTTAGTTCAAACTTTAAATGAAATTTTCTTCAATTTCAAGTCCAATAAATCAATTTGATATTCCAAAATGCAATATTAAAGTATATTTGTTGGTAAATTTACTTATACTAGAGAAGTATATTAATTTACTTATACTGAGAACAATAAGATTTTTTTAGGAAAAAGCTATAGTATCATACTGTTGTTACAAAATTGAAAGATACGAGTATTATTTTTCTTTCAAAGAAACATCTTAATAAAAACAATTTTTTAAGTAAAATATACTGGTATTATTTTTTTTCAAAGGTTTCTATTTTTATTTTAATAATTACCTTTTATTGTTAATAGGTGATAATGGTAAAATTAAATATAGAAATTAAAAATAGGGTGAGAGTGGTTTTGTATTAAAAAGAAATACCATAGGTAGGTTTGAAAAATGACCGTTAACGATTTATATAAAAAGTATGGATTAATTTTTTTACTCCATTGAGAATAAGAGATCGGGACTATATATATATACATATATGTATATATATATATATAACTCTCAAGTGGGTAGGACCAAATGAATATGAAGTGAGTCGAACTCTGTTTGAACTCTGCTATGAATTCAGTATGAGATAAAAAAAAACTGAGCCGAAGTCGAATCAACTCGTTTAATAAAAAAAATCAACTTCCATATCATATTTGTATTTAGAATAGGTTCTGTTTGAAGTTATATTCAAAATTGCTTTGGTTTGTTCGTGAACTTATGCGAGTCTTCATAAACGTGTTTATGAACATGTTAACATATTTACACGGGCCAAATCGAACCTAATAATGTACGGAAATGACTTATTTAATAAACGAGCTAAAAATTCAAGCTTGAGATCACTTTGTGCGTTTACTTAATGAAAGAGATCAAGTAAAACTTTAAAACTATTCATGAACAGTTCGATTCATTTGCAATCGTACAAACATGTATTTTCTTTATTCCAGAAAAAATGTCTCTTTTGAAAAACTTTGTAAGTCACAGTTTCTCAAAAGAGACGAGACAGAGAGAGTAGTAATTTATTTGAGACTATAAATTTACCATTCTTGAAATCCAATGGTCAATAATTCATAGTTAGACTTAATTAGTTTCGAACAACATAGATTATTTAAGAAATCCTACGTTCAAGATAAGGATGAGGACAATATTTTGCATCTAACAAAAATTATTTATACTAACTAATGAAAGAAGTGTTTTCCTTACTAGTCGTTTCATTTCAGAAGGAAAACACGGTGAACTTAAAGGGAAAGGAGACGTGGTTTGAAACAAAAACTCACACACACACACACACACACATATATATAGTTAAATACATATCCATCGATGATCAAGCTTAAAATTGAGCTTAATTGACCTAATTGCATCATCACCCAAATTAACATATATTATCCTATTGTGTACGGTGGTTTACTAGGTTGAACAATTTATTCTGTGTGTGTCTCCGGTCTTTTCTTTGTGGACCAGGGTAAAGGAAAGAAATATTGTTACAGGTTTATTATGGTGGTTTACTTAGATAAGTTGCCAGTCTTTCAAAACCTTGAAACATCCAGAACTTTGAAATTATTTCATAAGACTAGGGATGACAACGAGACCGGCAAGGTATTTTGCGATCCGATTCACAAAATGTAGACAAAAGCATATCCTTCCATGGGGGTCCAAAACTGAAGCTTATGGCAAGAAAATCCACTTTATGTGGTGGCTTCTCTCTCATGATTAACTGGATTATGAAATCATTATTCTAACAAAAATTATTTTATACTAACTAATGAAAGAAGTGTTTTCCTACTTGGTACGTCTTTTCATTTCGGAAGGAAGAAACACGATGAAAGAAGTGTTTTCTTACTTATAGGCTTCTCCCTCATGCCTAAATGGATTATGAAATCATTATTCTCTCTCAAACTCACGGAAGTAGATAAATATTGGGGGTGAGCTGCGCATATCACGTCATTGATTTGGTTGAGAATTTTTTTAAATAGGACCGTAGAACCAATGACAATGCGTACCAAGCTCACCCATATCTTCATACAGGGTGGCTTGACCTGCATTAATGAATGTTTATCACAAATCACTAGCGTTCCAAGTCACAAGACTACCCATTGATGCATTTGATTCTGATGGTAAGGCTTTTCATTCTTAAAAGATGCTAATGTATAACTGTAGCCAAATATTGAAATTTCAATGTCATGGGGTTTGTAAACAAGCATGGCCCCTACACACTTTAAGGCCCAATAAATGAGAAACCCTCGAGCCCACCACCTTTAGGCTTCTTGTTTGATCCTATAATATTTTTCAAAAAATAATTTTTGTGTTTTATAATGTTTAGTTGTCATAAAATATTTATAAAGAAAAAATATTAAAATTTTAAAAAATATATTTTACGTGTCTTAATGTATTCACTAACCAAGCTTAGTTTTGCCTTGGTTACTTCACTTAAATCGAAGTATTGTTTAGGACAATCTAAAAGTTCGTAATACTTATAAGGGGATAAAAATAAAATAAATAAATAAATAAGAAAGTGAAAATATTTTATCTTCATTACATCATCTATAATTTTGCAACTTCAAATCCAGAAATCAAAACTAAGCCTAAACTTATAATTTTACACCAAAACCCCAGTAGAATCATAGAAATGTCACAATGGGAGCAAAAAGGGTCATGACTCACAATGGTTACCAAAATTTATTGTCATTAAATCTACCTGGTATTGTGCTTGGCTCTAAGTGTGCCCTCAAGGGTATTGCTTGTAATTTTTCAGTGCGCGTTCGTGCCGGGATCCTCATATATGTGGCTAGAGTACCTAGAGAAAGCCAAGCAAATATTCCGTGCCAGGATCAAAGGTACGTTTCACTTGGATCCTAGGATAAGGATTCTGTTACTGTAATCTTCTCTTCATTGAGCTAGGATCAACAAGTTCTTAGAGCTAGTAGAACCATTGACTATTACAAACGTTAATGTAAACCTAAGTGAACAACTCTAAGCTACACCATGAAAGCCAAGGTAACAAGCAAGAAATAATAACTTAAGGTAACAAGTAACACTATAAAAGCATACAAGTGTATGGGACGCTTATCTGGCTCGAGTGCTTTTTTGCCCTAGTCACTTTGCTACAGGTCCTTGTTTGTTGATTCGACGAGAGTGATGTACGCTACGCCAAGCCAAAATGCCAGGGCGGTGGTGACTGGTTGTGAGTTTGCTTATTACCGACGTAAACTTGGACATGGTCGTGAAGGAATAAGGATGGATGCGGACGTGGCTCAGGGTGAGATCCAGCTCTCCTTCCATCTTTCTGTATTGGTACATAGACAATTCAATCATCCTCAACCAAGTACTAGGAGAGACAGAAAGCAAACAAATGAGAAGAATTATACCTGTATATACACAGGGAGTGAAAGGATCATATTCTTCTCCAAGTCTTCACTTTCTAAAATAGGCATATGAAATTTAATAAGACATTTGCGAAAACAAAGGACAACTTTTACCCACAAAAGTATAACAAAACAAAGATGTAATCTTTTACTGTTAAGGGGTAACATTACAATTAGAAATATATATAAAATGTCATGAAAAAGTGAAATGATGCACTTTACTTGTAATGCATTACAGTACAATTGGAAATTTAAGTGCCCTTGAATAACATCAAATTATGTACTCAAATTTTTATCATAAATTACCATAAACCCATTCCATATAGACATAAATTACTCCTTAGTGAGGACATGAATGAGTTAAGAAGGTTCAATATAAGATGTTGAAGTTCTTCCAAAAGACAGTAACAAACTTTTTAAAGTACCTCCTAAAGCTATGATAAATACCATTCAGCATTTTCCGGGAGACTTGGATCTCTTTAGTTTGAAGCTCAAAAACACAATCAACTCAGATGGTACCCGAAAATAAATATATACGAGAATATAATGTTTGCATATGACATGCACAAATAAACTCCGGTCCATAATAACATCTGATGATACTTAAAATAATAAAAACCAAAGCGTTATTAGATTAAATAAATTGCATATACAATTTTAAAATGGTACATAATAATAATAAATAAGATTCATATCTATCTCTTACTTGATTCCGTTTTCAATCGTTTTTTGATCCTCTCGGCATTGCTCAGGACTCCATCTAGTAATGGTGCGCTCTTCAACACTGTAAGCCTACAAACATGATGGAGAGACAGCACCAGTGTTATTTCGAAAGATATTAAGAACTAATAATGTCTTCGCAACACTGCCACAAAGTCGAAGTGTGCACTGAAAATCAGACCAAACCTTCAATCGATCATTTGCATCACCATCTCCTGATAAAACAAGCACAGCATACTCAGAATGCACCAAAGCTGGATGATGGCGGTAAGCAACGAAGTCCACACCATTCTGAGATCCTGATCTCACAACCCAATTTTTGTTTCGAAGACGAGAATAAGCCTTTAAGTATTCAGGGAATGTATCTTCCTTGGATTTCATATAACTCCATAACTCTTCATTGTTTTTGGTACATTGATCTTCACCAATAATCTTGAGACATTTTAGAGAATAGAACAGATAAAAAGCTTCTTCCATGCCCAACTGAAACCACTGTTTATCCTTCTCGGTTGTGATTATGGGTCGACCAAAACACGCACGATTAAGAAAATCAGTTTGTTCTGTTTCTGCTCCAAGAAGTACACTACACCCTGAGAGCAGTCCATGAGAATCCAATTGAATCAGAGAATTTGAAGCTGTGAGACTATCTCTGACATGGGATCGATCAGCAAGGGCTTTAGCTTCTGATCCCTTTCCTTTCCCCCGCGGCCCCATTGAATCACACGATGTAAAAGAAGCTGCAAAACAAGGGCCGCCTTCTATAAGTAAATCTTCTTGACTAATTGAACAGACACAATGAATTTTCCACAAACTTCACGACAAAAGTTTCATCAACGTAAATGGAATACCAAAATACTCTAATATTTGCCACCCAAAAACAATATTTTATTACATATCGAAACAGAAAAAATAACTATATTTTATCAAATCAAGCCAATCTCTAGAGGGAAACATCAAAAATTAAATAACCAAGTCTAATACACTAACTCAGACGGTGCTTTTAGCCATCAAATTGAAACGAAGCCTCCATTTTTTTGTGGTAAAACATTTTTTTCACAGAAAATTTTACTATGTAAAACATTTTAGGAAAATATTTTCTGGTGTTTGGTTTAAATCATGAAAATGTTCTTCAAAAATATTTTTTTTGTTGTAATTTTTTTTAACAAGAGTATACACATAAAAAAGAGATCCGTAACTTTGTTTTACTAAATTTATGAAATCTCTTTGTACTTAAAGTCCACGTGACTCCATCCTTTCAACTTAAAAAAGAACTTCAGTAATAGCAAAAGCATAAATGGATATGAATGTCTTGAAACAATGTTAAAAATGGGAGATAAATCAATCGAAAGACCATAAACAATGCCCAGTAAGACTAAATCAGCTTAGTTTGTTGAAGGGCAATGGCATTATGCCCCAGTCTAGAAAGTAGGAAAAGGAGATACTGACACCACAGATTTGACAAATCTCAACAAAACAGGACATGGACAAGGTGGCGACAATAGGGAAATTTAAAGATATATAAATTCTAGGGTGAACTACATTAAACCCCCTTTTCTATCTGTGTTTTTCATTAAACCCCCTTTTTCTATTTTTTTGCCAAAAACCCCCCTCAACTATTTAAGGGGAGTGATTTAACTAACGGAAGTTAGTTGAAAGAGAACTAAAATATAAATTGACTTAAATAACCATTAAAGCCTATTTGAAAATCTACTTTGCTTCTTATTTATTTATTTATTAAATAACCTAAACGACATCATTCACAGGATTTTTTTTTGTTTTAACATTTTACTAAACTGACAAGTTCACATTACTCACATGGAAGGAATTTTTTATTTTTTTATAAAAAAAAATGATATTGAAATATAAAAATAAAATAAAAAAGAAGAAGAAGAAGAAGAAAACATGTAGGCATAAATATTAATATAAAAAAGGAAAAAAATAGGCATTATTTCTCTAAGTGTCCCTTTAATAAATCTATATAAAATAAAAATTAATAAAAACCAAATAAATGAATGCACAATATAATTCTTATATATATATATATAGTAGATAAATTTCAAGAAAAAAATCTAGATTTATATTGGTCCGAAGGCTGGATAGAAATGAAAATATAGTATAAATAATATTTAATGGTACATATTATATATACCATTATATTATGATACAAATTATATATAATATTATAATGATGGAAGAGTATGTGTTGTTGCAATGGTGGAAGATATGCGGCTAATAGTAATAATGGAGTAGATATATATGTGAGGGTATATTAAAATAGGTATAAGGACATTTTTGTCTAAAAAATATATGAGAAACTAAATGCCCAAACAGCTCCCTTTCAACTAACTTCCGTTAGTTAAATCACCTCCCTCTAATAGTTGAGGGGGGTTTATTGACAAAAAAATAGAAAAGGGGGGTTTAGTGAAAAACAGATAGAAAATGAGGGTTTAATGTAGTTCACCCAAAATTCTATAATAATGAATTTATCACATTTTCGTTAATCGCTAGATCTTTCCTAAGGCAAAATATTATACACACAAAAAATGAATTTTTGTTCATTTTATCCCGAAACCATGAATGTAAACACTAATTTTGTTCATAAATAAGAAGGGCAATTACATGAAACAAGAAACTCATTTCATTATTTCAGTAATAATCTTTAAAGTAAACCTCCATCATTTTCATCTTTCATCATTCATTACATATAAGTCATAAGTTCAATAGCAAAACACATCGAAAAAGAAAGCAGAAATAGAAACTCCATAACCCTAATCCAAATAGCAGTAAAACATGTGGAATATTCTATTCATTTTTGCTATATTTTGCAGGCCAAATATGAGCAACAAGAAAAACAACAAAGAAGCAAAATGCAACAGAAAGTTCCTAGCAGAAACAATTGCCAAATGTGGGTGAAGTGTGCGGTGGTGGCTGCTGGTGAGGACGTGAAGCGACATAAATGGGTAAAGGACAGGAAATAGAAAGTGAGAGAGCAAAAACCTTGACGAACTCGCGGTGGAGGAGATCGCCGTTGGCGGCGGAGGAGCAGAGTCCCGCAGATCTCTCGTGAATTTGAGGAAGGTAGGCCCGTTTGCGCCGGTTTACAGCGTTTTGTTTTTAAAAAAAAATTTCTATTGATCCACAACATCTTTTATACTTACATTTGAGACCCATGCATAAAAAATCATTTCAGAAAACACCCTACAGAATGTGTCCCATAAGTAACCCTTGCATGTCTCCCGAGCGGGGTCCAATAACAGCGGAGAAATGTTTACATGCTTAAGAACTATATGGTCCCGACCCTTATGTGCCACCCGAGTTGTGTCAACATATTTAATTTATTTAGAATTTTGTTCATGTTGTGACTAATCAGAATCATGTAACAATCCATAGAGAATGTTTAGGAATGCTCTAATAAATTTTGTATCACATAAATAAACAAGTGCTCAAATGAGTGTGCGGTCATTTAAATCTATTGTTAAATATGTAGTAAATATTTTCTATCAAAACAAATGAAGTCAGAATGGTTCATTGTCATTAACAAGGCTAGTAAATCACGAGAAAGCGAATGCCTTGGCAGTACAGTCATGGGAAAGTACAGAAGCCGAAGGTAGCAATACATTTTCCAGCAGCATCAGTCACAACTCTCCAATTCATCTATTCTTTTGTCCCAATAAATTTGATTGAAACAATTAACTCTCCACAGCATTACTCTCTCTAGTTGATAACATAGCAATACATGAGAATCAATTTGACATTGACCCTCAATAAAAAATTGAACCACCCATCAATACCACTTTCATGTGGGAAACAAAACTCAGACGATTCTTCCACAGTTGTATGATCCATGAACTTGTGTACAGATTTGTGTATAGATATGCAATAAATAATTGCCCCATATGCACAATTAGATATATAACAAGGACCATTTAATTCACATTTGGTGCAGAAACAGCAGAATCATGTATCTCAGAATTAAGTTGGGACCTCTTGCTACAGGACTCCTCACTCTCAAGTGAACATGTTCTCTTGCTATCTGAATCCTCGTTGCTTCCTGCTAGAGCCAGCTTGCCGATTATCTGTTTCAAAGACACTATTGATCATCAACTTGGAAGCAACCACAATTAATTCTAACATCTAGTTTTATATTCTACAAGTCTTTTACTAGTCAAAAGACTATCAAGGCTTAATCCTTATTCCATTCAGCTTCATAAGTAGTCGAAAAATAACAGAGAGTGCGAGTCTTAAAATTGATAATATATATATATATTCAACATAAAAATTATTAATTGAATATTTCATGATGTTTCAAATTGAAAAAGAAATATGATGTAATTTGAATATATATATATATATATTCAAATTACATCATATTTCTTTTTCAATTTGAAACATCATGAAATATTCAATGAATAATTTTTATGTTTTTTCAACTCTAATTTTATTTTTATTAATACAAAAATATAAAACTTGCCTTATTTTATTTTAAATATAAAAGTAAAAAAACTTTTTCTTTTTTATTTGTTATAAAATAAATTTTTATTTTTAAATTACTCCGAATAAAACCCTAAAACAATTCGTGTACATATATCTAATTCTATAGATGCCAAGTGGGCAATAGCTCCAATCAGAATAAGCAATAGCAAAACCAGAAGAGGCAAGAGTGTGTGTGTGTATATGTTGTTTCTCTCTTTACCAGTTCTCTCTCCAATCACATATATAGATATGAATATATATTTATATATATATATGTCAAAGACCAATTAGGATTTTCAATACAAGATATAAACACTTCGCATGTATAGATACATATATACTATATCAAATATTTGGAAGGAAAGAAAAAAGAAAAAGAAATAAAAATCGGAAGGTGGGAAAAAAAATTTGGAAGTTATTTTAAATGAAAGTTATTACAAATTTCCCAGAAAATTTTAATTCATTAATAAATTTTTTTTTTTTAAATCTTATCAAACTATTAGTATTGTGGCCGTGAAGTATTCAATTATTATTTTTAGCGTTTTTTCAACTCTAATTTTATTTTTATTAATACAAAAATATAAAACTTACCTTATTTCATTTTAAATATAAAAATAAAAAACTTTTTTCTTTTTATTTGTTATTAAATAAATTTTTATTTTAAAATTATTCGGGCCAGCAATTCATTGATACTTGTTTGCATTTGGGTTTTCTCTTTCTGCAATCACACACACACACACATCTATATATCAATGACCAATTAAGGTTTTCAGTAAATGACAGAGACACTTCACATATACATATACATATATATCAACGATCTGGAAGCTGAAAAAAAAAAAATTAAAAAAAAAAAAAAGGAAGTGTTTTTTAAATTTTGGGTTGGGTTCGGCTTGAGTCCGAGTCCAACCCGAATTGTCTGGGCTTTGAAAAATACCAACCCTATTTGGGTCTAATTTGTGAATTTAAAATCCCAAGTCCCAAAAAAATTGGGCTAGGCGCATGTTAGGCTGGGTTGGCCCGCCCAAGTTGCACCCCTAATATTTATAGATAGTATTGGATCACTACTTGGGGATCTCAAGAGGTGACATTAAACAATCGTTACTGCCATTTTTGTGAAGACTTCATGTTTTCACAATGGCATCATCTATGTTGGCAAAAGAATGGGCTTCAAGAGTCACATCTGCACCAAACAGTAATATTTGTTTATCAAATAAATATCTAGCCAATGCTTGTTAAAGTTTTTGGATCCTTCTTACCGCGTTCAGTGAGGAATCACTTTGTTGTTCAAGCTCGCGTAATGTTTCAACCGTCATCCCAAACCATTCATCAATCCAAGAAAAACAATTCCGATGGCTTTCAAGAAAAAGTGCCCTTTCACCCTACAAGTAGTTTAACACAATCAACACATATCTCACAATCTCTAATGCAATAGACAATTTAAATCATTATAAAATATTCCACCGATAAAAATCGGTGAAACATGTCAATACATCTAGAATACAGGTGACTAGCCCAATCTGGTTGCCCCAAGATACATGGCTTTTGTAATCTTCACAAAGATGTCACAGGATTGGAACATTTTCATTTCAAGAACATATGTTTACATTGATTATGCAAAAATATAGGTGTGAGAAAGACATGGATATTTTCAGCCTTAGCAAAAAAAATTGCATCAGAAGTCACATGCAAGAGGTAATACCATAAGCAGAGCTTGTTCAATTCGACTACTAAATCCCCAGTATTGAACATCTACAGTCACCAATTTATATGCTGTCATAACTGGCTCACACCTATCCTGAAAATATCATACATGCATAAAGTCAATAAATTATCAAAATTTTCTTAAATTTGTACATAAATTAAGTCAAGCTTTGCAAACGGTTCCGTCCATCTGTTCAAAATTCTGTTAAAATTACAAATGGTAAGTAGATGATCACAATAACTAATGTGCAAAATTTTCGGCGATAACATCAGGATTCAAGCCACCTAGCATGAGATTGAAACATAAACTAATTCTAGCGTTTGAATTTTGGAAAACGTTAACTTCTCCTTTTCTAAGGGATTAAACAGATGCCTTAAGCAAACAATAGCTGCAACAACAACAAAAGCCAAAGCTACAATCTCAAAGAACACAAAACTACTTTCCACTTGCATGGACTAATATACTTAAGGGGCTTAAAGTGTCAACTAATTTAAATCTGTACCTATGAAGTTGAAAGGTCTTTTCTGTGAGTAAAAGAATCAAGGCTTCAACTATGTGAGCAGCACAACATGACAAAAACCAAAAACCAAAAAGGAGCATGAAAACGGAAAAATGTGCAAAACAGAACAGAGCTAGTAATGCCGTGTTCCTTAAGGACAATGTATAATGACTCCCAGGTGCTGCGAGAAATCAAAATTCAGCAACAATCTTGGTGTCGCTATCGTGATTTTCTATTATTTTTCCTCATTGAATTCATTTTAAAGTAGATTGGAAAATCCCGAACACATATCACCAATTTTCAGTCTAGAAGTTGATTGCCATCATTCATCAACATGGAAAGTAGTTGTATGACACAATTACACCATTTCAGTACTCCTACATTAATAGTTGTATGAGACAATTGCACCATTTCAGTACTCCTACATTGATTTACCAACTTCCATGCCATGTTTACTGGTTTTCAAATGCAGGACCATATTCAAAAAGAAGAATGAAAAGAATCATTTACAATAATTCAGACACCAACATTGCAGCTGGGATGATGAGATGCATACTTAAAATCCCAAGAATACTATAGTGGAAGTGAATAGCATGACATGTCTACAGCTAAACCGAAAAGATTCCAAATTCTCATAACCGGCAGAAACAACAAGATATACAGATAGATGCATCCATAAAAATAATAGAATAGTCAAATTACTGGTAGACCGATTCTGACCTGCCATCCCTCTAAAAGTGGACCACGGCCAGTCCTCCTTGATTTGAATTTCGATAAATCACTAGTGCTACTTCCAATCATGTAACTCCAGTAGTCCCTGGTAGCTGAAGCAATATCAATAATTTCCACCTGCCTGGCTGCTAGTTGTTCTTCGCTAAGACCATGAACCTAGACAGTCAATATCTCTGCTTAATGAGGTCAGAAAATCAACTACACAGAAAATTTGCATATTGGTCTTTTTTCAAAAAAAAAAAAATCTTTTTTTTCCCACAATATACTTCATGTTTATTGAATAGTTACAGAGCATTTAAATGTTAATGTCCATCCAAGTCTATGGATCTGAATGAAACATAACTAAGACCACAAACAGACAACTTACATTTTCCGAGTGTCCATTGTCAGCTTTATGAACAGTTTCAATGGTCAGGAGAAACTTGGTCAAATAAGGGCACTGAAAAAATGCAGAACAGAAGACTTAGTTATTCAGCCCAAAAAACTTCCCTATCCACAAAATAAACGTTGGGCTTGAACTAAAAATGACTTACCTTAATTACTGCATAATGTGCCATTCAGTAGCAGATAACAACAAACAAAATTACATCAGTAGAAGTTCCAGGAGAAGCATATGATACAAAGTGACAAACAATGTAAATAAGACAAACCTGATTTACATCTTGGATATGCATTCCAGGCTTCCTCCTGCATGATGAGTGAATTTGCTGGTGCAAAAGCAGTTAGCCATGCAGGAACTTTGCTGCAAAATGTGGATCACCGAACAAGAGAAATAAATTTAAGTTGAAAAATGATACTCAAATGTCAAGAGCGTTCTCCTATGATCCAATTCAATAGAAACAGCAACTACATAGGGATTAAAAAATTATCTGACTTGATCCATGCCACAATATCAATGATCACACACTCTAGATGTAGAGATAACACAAAAACAATGTCACGAAAACTAAGTCATAGAATGGATGATGAAAAAAATCATTAAAAAAAAAAAAAAAGTCATAGAAGATGAAGGGAAATGAAGTGAACTGTCGGCGAAATGAACCTGCAATTTAATAAACAGAGTAAAAGTTCATTGATACCGTGAAACACCATTACACAAAGGAAACTGGCCAAATATTATTTCGAAGAACATCAAAATCTGAAATGCGCTAAAATGTTTGTCCTATATCATTTGCATTTGCAACACTGTCAACCTACAACTACCCCAGGCCCAGGCGCAGACACGTGCTTTTATTTGTAATCAAAATGGAATCGTCATATCTCTGCACCTAAGCATCTTTAAAGCTGATCTTGGATGGGGCTTCACTACAATGAAGAGATTTAAGGGTTTTCTTGTTTCTTTTATAAACAAAGCCATTTGCATTCTCTCAATTCATCTATTCTTTTGTCTCTCTTCTTTTAGATGTTTGCTTGGGTTTGTTGAGAATGCTATGGTTTCACTTTGTATTGTGGTGTTATCCTCCTTGATCTTGTAATGATTGCTAGATCAATAAAAATTCATTTTGCTTGTCACAAAAAATAAAATAAAATAAAATAAAAACCATCTTCAAAGCTACATTATTGACTGATATTGACACGTCAACACGACATCTTCGGCGATAGAAAGAACAACATTGATGCTATCATGATTATCATCACAATGATGTACATAATATTGTGGGTCACAGTTGCATAAGTTATCCTTTTCACCACATCTTTACCATTTTAAACAATCGCCATTGCTTTACCACAAGCCTTCCATACCGTTTTCCAAGGAATCCATTTATAAGTTCTTCATATGTTAAATAAAATGTTTTTATGTAAAAAAAAACAAGTTAATAGAACACACACCATGAACACTTTTCTTAATTTCTAATGTCAATTACAATATCAGGCAAACCCATTGCAATGGTAGGTAATCAAATGAATAAAATTGAAATAAGGTTGGAGATAAATTGGGATCAATATGAACACATAACAAGAGCACCTACATAAACACACATGATGTTTGAACAGAAAAGTCCAAGTCTTTCATATTGGTGCAAGTAAATTGAATTTAAAATTCTAAATCACATATTGCTCCAAATTACCTTTGCAGACGATAAATTTTCGAGGTGTATTGACCTTTTCCAACTACATCATCTTCAAAAGTTCTCCTCTCTAAGATCTCCACCCCTTCGGTGCTTGTCGTGCTCTCTTGCTGCATTTTCATCACCATATACATCTGCGCTATTTGATACTGCAATTCATCAAGCCCACTTAGCAAACAGAAGCAGCTCTGTGTTTTCATTTATATGTTGTGTGTGTATATATTATATATATCATTGTATAAGAACAATATATTTGTTGAATTCATTGAATTGCTATACCTCATCCAACGACACTGGCATGACAATTCGACTTCAGAAAAATCCCCAATGAAAAGAGGTGTAGGTTAAGGAAATCAAAATTAGAAATAAGATATAAAAAAATGAGAAAATTAATAAGTGAATAATTTGCATCCATATATTCCCGGAAAGAAAAGAATAATAATATAACTTCTAACCATTATAATTGTTTTCTGAATTAAAGTATAAGTTAAAACTATGACTTTTTTTTTTTTCTTTCCTTTTTTGGTAACCTCGCCGTTTGGTTACCAGGAAAAAGAGGGGAAAGTTAATATGCTGATGTACTTGGTGAGTTTTAGTTATGAAAGCTCTGGTTCAATCAGTTGAACCAGTTGAGCTATATGGCGCCAATTTGAGTAAATCTTTTCGGGCTTGGCCTTGGACTCCAGAATAATGAAAATTTCAAGGATTTTCATAAAATCTGAACTTCTTATTTTCCCAAATTTTCCCAGCAACCAACCACAACAGCTAAATAAGGAAAAAAGAGCGTGAATTTTGTAAGATCACAAACAAATATAAATTGTAGTAAAAGGATACAATTCCTTAATCTGAACCATTTTTGAGGACGATGATAATTCGTGCAAATAAGCAGCTTCAATGGAAAACTTATAGACTTGGGCTTTAGAGAAACTGTTGATGATGATGTGTGTATATATATATATAGATATAGATATGTGTGTGTGTGTGAGAGAGAGAGAGAGAGGAGGGCTAATGTAATGAGTAATGAGAGTGTGGGTGAATTTTAGGAAGGCGATCTGATCTGAGTAAACAACGCGTTAAGAGGCGTTTGGAAGATGGATTTGGATTTTATTTTGACTTGTGGTGGTGGTGGTGGCAGCGAAGGACGTTGCGCGTTGGCGGGGATGCGTAACGCGGACGGCGACCAACTTCCATCAACTAGGAAGATTCCGTATCGACTTCTTCTCCTCCCTCTTTTTGACAGGCCTACTTTTCTTTTCTTTTCTTTTGTTCAACGGAGGTTGTTTGGTCCACGTGTTCTGTTTATTGCTGGAATAACCAAAATAATAATAATAATAATAAGTAAATGATAATGATAATTTAAATACTTAATTATGTATGGGAAAAAGGAAGTTATTTAATAAATTTCCCACTATATATTTTTTCTTTTAAAAATAAATATATATAAGTGAAAGGATAAATAATTTGTATTCCTCTAAATCAATCTATTTTTATTTTTTTTCCTTTTGTTTAAATCAGGTGTCTAATAAGAATTTTTATTTAGTGATGAATAAAGACATATTTTTTTTTCTTTTAAAGTGTTTAAATCAATAACTAATAATAATAATGATTTGAGACTTTTTATCATTTTTCTTAAAAATTTATACCAAACATGTTATGTTATTTTCCTTTATTTTTTATTTTTCCTTCATTTCTCACTAACCAAACAGAACCTATAGGCTTCCCTTGACTAATGGAAAGAGGATTTGGCTGCTTACTGTATTATTCTCCTCTCTTTTTCTTTTCTTTTTTTTTTCTTTTTTCTTAGCAAAAAAAAAACACACTCCTTTGTCAACTTTCACCTTTCATGTTGAGCCATAGAAAAATACCACTGTGATATAACTCTAGATTGTAATATTATGCTAATTTTTTATTTTTTTTTCACCAATATTATGCTAATTCGGATAGTTACTTTTTCAGGTGAATATATTGGAATTGAATTTAACAATTCACCGTCATAAATTGTGTCTTTTCTTCTAATTTAAGTCAGATTTAGATTAAAAATCTCAATCCAAATTAACCTTTGGTTCATGTGTTTTGCAACTGGAATGAACAGTGACAGTGCTAGGAATTTATTTTACATGTGTACATTGAACATTATAAAAAATGATAAAAAAAAAAAATTGCAATAAAAAATATCAAAACCATAAAATACAGAAAGTTAAAGAATAAGAAGAAAAATAAAAGGTTATTGTACGTGTATGAAAAAAAAAATTTAAGAAGAGAAAAATATATATTAAAAAAAAAAAAAAAAAAAAAAAAGAGAACAAAAAAATAAAGAAAAATGAGATAACTTTGATGTAAAAGGAATACAAAATTTTTTGAACAGATCAAATAAATTTGAAGAAGAATAAGAGTAAAAGAGAAAAGAAAAAAATGATTAAATAAATATTTAGATATTTGAAGAAGAATAAGAGTAAAAGAGAAAAGAAAGAGAGGATTAAATAAATATTTAGACATGGAGAATTTTAGGGTGACATTTTATAACATTTCACAAATGTTTATTCATAAAAGAAAATTTAAAAAAATCACATGGCTATGTTATTGTGAACGAATAAGGTAAGTACTATGTTGTCCGAGTTGTTGGATTGTTCGTCATGTTTAGGAGCTTGTGTTCGAATTTTGCACCCTTCGCCTTCCACTCTTCTAACAACTAACCACTAATCATTAACATTCTAACCTTGAAAAAGAAAGAAAAAAAAAATCATGAACGAGTAAGAATTTAACCTAAACTCCAACTTTGGTTAAGAAATTTTGTTACAAGTTTATATTCTATAATTATGATGAAACATTTTTGGGATCTCTTTTTAATGCCTAATATCCTGTAAACTAATTAATTGAAGAATTAAATCTTTAAATAAAATTTTTAAAAAAAAGGGTTAAGTTCAATTGGTAGATTTTTTAAGCATATGGATAAATTAACCCAAACTAACCAAAGGTTACCCCTATTATTTGGTTGGATTGTTTTTTGTGCACAGGAATAGGATAGAATGGAATGCAAGTGGGAATGAAATAACCATTCTTATTATATTGTTCTGTTATAAATATGAAATGTGTAGGAATGGAATGATAATAATCAATATATTATTTGGTTGGACCAATTTATAATTTAGAATGAAATAAATTTCAAATTGAATTCTCCGAAATATCCCTCTCAGTAACAAATAAATTAAATTAACAAAATGACATTTTTGTATTTTTTTAAAAAAATAAATGGTGGTACTAAATGGTAGTCGAGGTGGAAACTGATAGTTGTGTAGGTGGTGATGTTAGTGTTGGAAACGTGTTAGTTTTAAAAACTTTTCGAGGGATTTAAATTCATAGTTCTTGATTCATTACATAGAGACAAGTTTTATGCAAAAATAAAACATGATGTATCATTCAATTAAAAGATTGAATACTTACATCAAGGTTTGAGTAAACCTTAGATCTCTCATCTAAAGTGAATGTTCTCGCTTATTGTAGATCCCTTAACAAGATGCATTCTCCTTGGATCTCCATCTTCTTGGTAATTGTTCTGCCTTTAGGAATCACTCATATGCCTCCATGAATGACATTGGAAAACTAGGCTTGTGGGAGCCTCCATTAGATGAGAACATAAACCCTAATTTTCTAGAGAGAGAAAATATATTCCTTTTTCCTTCTACTAAAAATCACCCCTAAAATATACATAGACCATGTATATTTATAGGCAACATAAAGGTAAAGAAAATGAAACAACTAATCCTTCTCAATCTCTAATTCACATGTCTCAAATCTAATATGATTCCAATATCAAGTTGGGCTATGAGTGAGAATCCATTGGGCCTATTATTTTATTGGCTACAATGAATTAATAATTGGCCCGGTCCATGGACCCAATTCAATTAATTCATAAATTAATTTCTACTCCACTAAAAGAAATTAATTGAACTCCAATTAAATAATAAATAACCTTTAAGTCAATATTGCACTTTGACCCCTCTATGCATAATTAGTTATCGGATAAATAAAGCCATCAATCCGACTACTTAATTAACATATTTATTTTGGTACCTTTGATTATTTCTGACTCGATCACAATAAAACATTTGTTTGACAAAAATAATAATTTAAATAAATAAATATATAATAAATCATTTTGTCTAAAAACATACGAAGGCCTTCGAATTTACTTTGTGATCAACCATAATCAATACAAAATAAATACAAGTAGTAATGATGTAAATATCGAAAATATAACCCTCTAACTATTAATTACATAACTACCCAAAGTGTCGGTCTAAGGATCCCGAAGTATCCGCCGAACAAATCAAAGTATTTATTAATTAATAAAAGAGTCTATAATTTTCTCATGCTTAAGAGTCAAATGCTATGACGGTGATAGGGAGCAATTGCATACGACGGCTCTCGCAATATATCTCAACCTAATGCGGATCCAGTTCAAATCTTAATTAATTATGAGTCCATCCATAATTACTGACTATGAACCATTTATGATTACTATTTATATATCATGCATTGATTGCCATCACATATATATATATAAATATCTCTTGTAATCAAATGGACACTATCAATTCTATAATGAATCGAAATATAATACATTGAATTCACCAATTGTATAAAACATAAATATTTCAGAAACGTCAGAACATATGTCACTTTAATCCAAACAGGAATTTGCTATGCCAGGGCATATAAATCTCAATAGCTCCCACTTGCCCTCATAGCCAATTCAAATTGCACCTAACTCCAATGTTATCCAGATGATGATCAAAATTATTGATCAATGACACCTTTGATAATGGATCAACAAAGTTGTGTTCCAATGCAATGTTCTAGCTACAAGTACATTTTCTTGCCGGACAATATCATGTTGAACATGATACTTCCTCTTAGTGTATCTTGTTCCTCTATAGAACCTTGGGTCATTGGTTTGGACTACTTCTACACTATTGTCGCAATATAGCTTGATAGGTAAGCTAGCATGCTCCACAACCTCTAAATCAGTGAGATCAAACCAATAGGCTTCCTTTGCCGCCTTTAAGGCTGCAATATATTCCACCTGCAGGTTTGAGTCAGCAGTTGAAATCTGCTTAACAATCTACCAACTGATTTCCCTTTCATTAAGTGAACATACACTAAGTCATGAATCTCATAATATCTACTTCTGATTTAAAATCAGAATTAGCATACCTGACTAGGACCATATCATCACATCCATTAATGAGTATGATATCATTGGTTCTCCTTGGTACTTAATGATATTTTTCACAACAGACCAGTTATCAAGTCCACGATTAGACTAATCTCTACTGATTATCCCTACTATGTAGCGGATGTCCTGTTTGGTATAGACCATGGCATATATGAAACTCCCATATGCCAAAGCATATAGTTCCAGTCTCATTTGCTCAATCTCCTCTGTTAGTCTTGAAAAACTACTTACTAGAGAGAGCAATCCATATCAATAAAGCAAGAACTCATTCTTTGAGTTATGCATACCAAACCTAGTCAAAACTTTATCAATGTAGGATTATTAAGATAAGCCTATTTTCCTTCTATCCCGATCTTGCAAAAGCTTGATCCTAGGAATATAGCTTACATCTTGAAAAATCCTTCATTTAAAAGTAATTGAACAACTACCTCTTTATTGATGACAAACCTTCCACATCATTCTATATGAGTAGGATGTCATCAATATATATAGAATCAGAAAAATAATGGCATTCCCTTGTACACTCATAATTTATTCACTAAGAAATCTTCTGGTATCTTTTTGTAGATTAACTTGCCTTCCATAGGAATCACCCTACTAGAAAGTTTTACAAGATCCCAGAATTTATTAGAATACATAGATTCCAACTCTGATTTCATAGTAACTCGCCAAAACGATCTGTATCCATATCGGTTCACGCTTCCGTGTAGCTTACTGGGTCCAACTCATGTTTAACAGGGATGTCCATAACGGTCTCACCTAAAAACATGATTCTGTCGGATTGGATGATAATCCTCCTACTACATCAATGTACCGATGCAGGAATCTGTGTACTAGATGATGCTAACGCATCAATAGGGAATTCATCTATAATTCTAAATCTCTATACTAAGTGTGTTCATTTGTGGTACATCTGGTACTCTTACCATATTCTCTAACACTATGCTACTAGGTATGTGATTCATAATATGATTCTCCTATAGATAAAAATTGAGTGTAAACAAT